TCATTGCACATGTTCTTATATCGACTAAGAAATTGTAAGGAACCTTTCTTACAAAGCAGATCTCGGTCGATTGCACAAAAAAAGGATCGTTTTTCATAGACATTGGACGTGGGTGTGATTCTGGAAGCAATGATTGTATAGGTGGATTTGTAAGATTGTAAGTGTTGATGGGTGTTGCGATGCATTATGCGCGATGAAAGGTTGATGTGTATCGATTTTTCTATATGAACTTTTAAAGGCTGTAATCTCTCTCTTCAGTTTTAGTAACATCTCCCGACACGTCGAAATAACACAACTATATAAATATGTATATAAGTAGCACGTTAGAAGAAGTGTATAATAGATCATTGGATAGAATAATAGGGTTAGAGAAACTTATCACATCAAACCAGATACAAACAAAAGGAAAAACAGAAAACACTCTCGTCAAAATACTTGCCAGACTAAAAGAGAATATATCGCTTTACTTAAAAATAGATACATGTTCCGAAAGAAACCATGAAAAAAATATATCAACAACATCTTTAATATACATTTCTTATAACACGTCTTGATACCTCTCAGAACATAGTGAATTTTGTTTTAAGAGTAGGATCAGACTAGGAGGTAATTCCCTGTAGACAAGGTGTCAGCTGCAATTTCGAATTGGTCCTCGACTAATTGAAAAGGAAGCTGATATGTATCGTGAAGCGGACAGGTATTCACAATGATGCTTGGGTTCACCATAAACGTTAAATATGATGCTCTTGCTACCGATACGTATCGATTGCATCCATCATGGACAGAAATGCACTTCCTCTTCATCACCTCCATCTTTGCTTTAACGTGTCTTACTAGTTTTAGAAAAATTCAAGATTTTACCGTTCGACAGATTGCAATAATAATTCTCTACATACATACCATATGTCGCTACTACTCTTGTTCTTCTTTCTCAATCTTACGATCAAAAGCAATATTATTGGTGTCTCAACTGAGTGCACATGCGAGGCTACTTGTTCTGGGCCTCGATGCGTAATAAAAGCTGACACCGGCACTTGCTTTTCGGGGTCGAGCGAAATTGCTCTGGAGAATGGATCTGTCAAAGCACTATCTGATGTAGTCATTGGAGATAAAGTACTCGTCAATGAGCACAATGTTTATGAACCTATTATTGGTTTTATACATGCAAAACGAGATGATTATTTTGATTTTCTTGCAATCAAAGTTCAATCAACTAGATCTAATACATCTTCAACTCTCTTTGTCTCTAGTAATCATCTCCTCTTCGATTTTGATACTCATGAAGCTCGTTTAGCTGCTCAGTTTTGTGTTGGTGATCGATTGCAATTTATTGACAAGAATCAAATGAGTCCTGGCGAAATAATTAGTATTCAGGTGACGAAACAACAAGGATTCTATGCTCCACTAACACCATCAGGCACGATAGTTGTTAATAAAATCCTTGCATCAAATTATGCTACAGTAAGCAATCACGTTCTAGCACATCAGATGATGGGTATCTACCGATGGTGGATCAGTTTGGTTGGTGGATCTCAATCAACAGAACGAATTCCATGGATTTTGCAAGTTATGCAGAGTGTAGAGAAAATGATACGATGGTGTGGTCGTCTAATATTAACAGGTATTGATATATATGGTGACACACTCTGACATTCACTCTTGATTGAAACACTCCATATATATATATGTAGTTAGAGAAATGTATGCTATTATTCATTTTACTCATCATATTATTCTCTATTTGATCTTCTAATCATGATATCTTATATTTCTAATTCTTTTTAAATAAAACTCACTGAAAGATAAACTTGTCATATACATAAATTGGCTGCCAAAGAAATTAACTCTCTTCATAATCTATATGGTAGAGGATGGCTGATGAGTACATACAAAAGTTAGTCTTATTAATTTGATTCACGCTAAGGATTCTATCAGAAAGTTTATAATTTGTTTACATTTTATTCAAATTTTCAGTTGAAAAAAATTAGAAGATCTTTGGATTCGAAAAGAGACTAAGCAACAGATAGCTTACTCGTAGGATGTATACGTATAAGAGTCTTCACGAGAGAACGAAGATGAGTTCAGAAATTCAGATACCATTACGTGTCTCGCCTCTCATGTGAGTCTAGCCAGGCGCCGTCAAAACAAAGAACACACAAGATGATTGAAGATACTGAAGAACTCGCCAGTAAACGTCATGTGATACTTTATAGACATTAAAGAAATTTACAGAGCATGCCCAGTGAAAAATATTCGTGTGAAAATCAAGATTAGTTTTTGTCATCTTACCAGACGATCGATTTCCTTCCCTGAAATACTTTCTTTACAGCATGATTGAATTCAAATCGGCTGCAAAAATAATGCACAAAATCGATTTCTTTTCATCTAATTATTTATTATCCGATATTAACAAAGAAAATGGAATTTTTATCTTGTAACTCGATTCAATCTTAATCAAAACAAATCGGGTCGATGTTGTCCTGTACCAAATGTTAACAGTTGAAAATTGTGAGAATAAAGTTAGCTCAAGGGGGAAACAGCAGACTTCAAGACTTCAAAAGACTTCAACAGACTTCAACGGACTTCAACCATAGTGACTTCATATTTTCACAAGACTTCAAAAGACTTCTAAAGACTTCATAAGACTTCATAAGACTTCAAAGGACTTCAAAGGACTTCACAAGACTTCATAAGACTTCATAAGATTCCATGAGACTTCAGAGGACTTCAAAAGACTTCGTGAGACTTCACAGGCTTCGTGAGACTTCACGGACTTCATGAGACTTCACGGATTTTGTGAGACTTCACAGACTTTGTAGGACTTCTTGACACTTTATAAGACTTCATCAGACTTCATAAGACTTCACAAGACTTCATAAAACTTCACAAGACTTCGTCAGACTTCACAAAACTTCATAAGACTTCACAAGACTTCATAAAACTTCACAAGACTTCGCTAGACTTCAGAAAACTTCATAGGACTTCACAAGACTTCAAAAGGCAGATTCCATGCGTATCAAAAAATCTTATAGAAATTATATGAAACTTCTGTAACATGCAAAAAACAAAACTTATCATATAGAGATTACAAAGGTATTTCTTGTTTCTGAGAATTGTTTCTCGCAGTATATCCATATCTAGAATAAAGATGTGGCAATGACACAAAGCGTTGATGAAATTAAAACTGAGAAAATAAACTTTACTGGTACGCGTATATTTGATTCGATTAATCCAGCATTGAAAGACTCCTATTTTCAGGTGCAAATAAATAACAATACTAAATTTATACACAAGCAAACGGCTTGTTGGTTATTGACCGACAAAGCTAGCCGTTTATCGGCTGATAGATTATCACGAGTGATAGAAACAAACAAAAAGGAATAAAAGTCTTCATAAGAATGACATTGAATAGATGGAACATTTCTTATAAAAATAAATCACTTCATTCAAAAAGCATTCAGTTATTAACTATCATGTTTTCTAAGATCCAACAAACTTGAATTTTTTTTCAGCACATTGAAAAAAAAACAATAAAAGGTTCACCTTTCTGCTAAAATAAGACCATCGAAAACAAGACAATTTCATTGGTTTCTTATAAATTTTCATGCACTAAATGTATTTCAAAACTTCCAGAAGAATTCATGAGACTTCAAAAGACTTCATGAGACTTCATTAGACTTCATGAGACTTCAGAGACTTCAAGAGACTTTATGAGAATTCATGAGACTTCATAAGACTTCAAGAGACTTCGAAAGACTTCATGAGACTTCACGGCTGAAGTCTCTGCTGTTTCCCCCTTGAGTTAGCTGGCAAATTACACCTGTTAGAACAACCAATGGATACCATGGATCCGATGGACTCGGACTTCTTTATATCGATTAGTCAATCCTCTAACGGAAGCGACTTCTCTTTTATAGTATGGCATTGAGAGATGCGATCATCATGAGCGAATTGACCATGCAGTACGGAAGAGAAGTTACCGTGGAGGCCTTGACCATATCACCAAAAAAGCGACAAGTTGTTCCATCTTATAGAGAAAAGATTTATCTCGGCAAAGTCAATGAGAAGGCTATTGATCATTTTTCTTTTTCACTCCTAGGAGATGTTCTAGTAGAAGTAGATTTTTTTCAGCAGAAATGTAATTTATCAAAGCAAAAGTTCTTTAACCATTTCTACCTCATAACTTTGCGTCTTGTGTAGAATGTTCAGTGTTTTTCTTCGACTTCTAGCAGCGTATTACAAAACCAGTATTTGAATTCAAAACTGTCTAACACAATATATGAAAAAAATTACTCAATTGTCTTAAGAGAACAAGTAACGCGGCACAAACGCCGCTGACCCTCTACTGAAAGGATATGATCGAGCGGCCTCTACGCTTGACAGAACATAAACTTCCAGGACTTTTCATCTAGAAAAACTATTCAAAATGTTCTCCACTGCTCAAGATCTCGTACATTGGTGTAATGAATGTTTGGAAGAATCCTCAACTAGTCACATCTTCGTTTGCTGGGGGTTAAATTACATATCGTTCGATGCAGAATGACATGCACTATCGCTTGAACACTTCGATCTCTTCCGGCAAACGACCTATTAGATCGAAAAACGCCACAAACTGTTGAAAATCCTCTATATACGTATCATGGATCTTAGGAAAACTCTTCCACTAGTCAAGACTTTGTTTGCCGGAACATGAGTTATACACCATTCGATGTAGAATGATGCATCCTATTGATTTCACATCTTGATCTCTACCACCAAACCTTCTACAAGGTCAAAAACTGGATGAAACTTCACGAAAATCCGGCAAAGGTGTAACCAATCTCAGAAAACCCTTCGCATGCCTCCTGGCTTTGTTTGCTAGGACATGAAGTGTGCATCGTTCGGGACAGAGAGACGTGAACTATCGATTGCACATATTGATCCGTCCGGGAAAACGATACTTTGACGCAGGTTAAGGTTTTTCTAAGAAAGCTTACGGGTGTGGGTATGGGTGTGAGTGTGTGGGGTGTGGACGTAGATGAAGGTCTACTCTCTAACACCCACATCCATACCCACACCCACCCAACACCCACACCCACACCCACACTCACACCTACACCCACACCCGCCCACACCCGCCCACACCCACATCCACCCACACCTACACCCACACCCACACCCACACCCACACCCACACCCTCAAGAGGAATACTTACATTGAGTGTTCTCATCATGGCTGCTTTCATATTATCTAGTGTATTA